TGCGGTTAATACTGAAACAGTCCTTCAGATAAATGACTCGTTTTGGCTGTGAATTAGACCAATTGGACGAACTATTCTTGAACTTCTTCTCCGTGTCGTAATACGAAAGGGATCCCAGATTTGGGTCAAAGTTATCCCGTAATACGAAATACTTCTTCTTCAGCCTCTGTTCAAACCAATCAATCAATCAAACCATTCATTCAATCAAAACAATGAGCGAAGATATTGGTAATGATGTGGTCAATGGTATGCAATGGTAATCAATGGCATAAATACCTTAAGCTTTTTCATATAACCGACTTTCTTGATGTCTTGAGGCATAACAAAGTTGTCGTCCAAACTCTTGAATCCTTTGGGTGTCTTCAAAGACATCTTTCTGTCGCTGCACTCAATTCAATGCCAAACAAATTGGGGGCAAAAAAGTGCTGAAAAACGTCACGATATTTGCGGTCAACCAAAGCAAACCCAAAAGTGTTTCAATGGTTTGAAACAAACAATTCATTTGTATTGAGATTGAAATGCAATTATAATTAGGAAATCAATTTAATTATCATTTACTGAACACTGGTTTAGTGTTGACCAAGAAATGAGTCAACCTTTAAGGATATAATCATTGTTTGATTCAATTGAATGCCTTATAATCGACAATAATATAGGGATTGTTGTTGTGATGAGAGAGACATTCACTTCAATAGAAATGCATCTCAAATGAAAACATATCCACTCTTTTACACTACCATTACGTCATCCAATCGTCACTTGTTTACTACAATCACTCATCCAATCACATCACACAATAACACACCACCCCCTCTCCCCCTCACTCGGCCCCTCCCCCACCCCTCCAACACACACATCAAGCAATAGTGAAGGCAATAGTGATGGCAATAGTGATGGCAATACTTAGCGTTAGGCAAACTACCGACCATGGTCGTCCTTGACTTTATTACAGATGGTTAATATACATAGTTGAAAACACAAATATACTTCAATTTTACTTCTAATCTTTAAAACTGATAACACAGGTTTAACATAAGCAATGCTAAGTCTATAGCAATGCTTATCCTATGGGTAATGTTAAGTCTATGGGAGTAATATTAACTCTATAGGAAAAATGCTGATTTTATGAAAATATCTGTAAAGATAAGACTATAACATATGATTAAGTTGGATAATAATAAGTCTATGGTAATGATAAGTCTATGGACAAAATTAATGTTAAGACCGATTAAATATCAACAATAATATTGAAAAATTTTTAAAATTCAAACAATAAGTTATTTTGGAAAAGGTTATAACTGTGAAAGTTTTTTAACCACAATTTAGCTATTAATAATGTGATTTATAAGATCGTTTGGCCCCAACCCTATGGGATTTAATATGGGATTACAGTTTAAGTCTATGGATCTGTGTAACATGGCTAATGCTAATCCTATGGAACTTAACATGAGTTAATGTTATCATATGGGTAATGTTAATCCTATGGAACTAATTTTAAATTTATGTGAGAATGCTTTAACATGGCATAGGCTTAACATGGGCCATGTTAAATATATCGATAATGTCAATTCTATGGGCAATGTTAATATTAAATCTTTAAATATAACTAATCTATTTTTTGAACAATACCCGAATTGTAATTAATATATCTCTGTGTTAACTTTGTTTTTGTTAATAAAGGCAAGAAAGTACAAAGCCACTATTAGATTTAATGATGATACTTTACGTTATATGGTCATAATACGATCATCAAATAACGTAAAAGCAAACATTTATAATATTATTCATAATAAATAATTACAATAATATATTTTTTTGTTGATTATTTGTATAAATATAACTCCTTTTCTTTAAATATTTTATTTTTAATAAATTATTAGTTTTAAAATATTGAATTTATTTTCGCATCCTTAAATTTGTTTTTCCCCCATTATTTTTACCCCTTTGCCTAACGCTAGCAATACTGATGCCAATCACTTCTCTAATAACAAAAGTAATCATTACTTCATTTCAAAAACAAATTATTTATTAAAAACTAATGAAAGAATAATTATTTCATTAAATATAGCGAAACATAATTATAA